CCCAAAAAAAAAAAAAAAAAAAAAAAAAGATGGGTAAAAGCTGTTCAAGGGTCATCAAGAGTTCAAAGGTGCAAGGTTAAACTTGTGAGAATGTTTGGAAAGTTTGAAGACCTTGCAAGGGATTATAAGGTGTTGGGCTACTCCTCCCATTGCCTATTATTAGTTTTGGGGTGGAACCTCAACTTCTTTCAAAACTCATACATCTTTACCTGTATCATCTGTGTATATATGAAAAAATATCTTGGATTCATGTTCCCATATCGTCTGTGTAGAATTTTATTTTTCAATAAACGTTGTTGGGTTTGATCAAATAGTTGATGAACATGAATTTCATGCTCACCAAAAGCATATGTATATGTTTGTGTGTGTATTACTGTGAGTCGCTGACTTTTAATCCAAGAATATGTGAGATGAAAAAGGTTAATTTCATTAACCTCGATCGGAATAAGGAGATCATGTGACTATACTCATATAAATATATGTACATGGAAATGATTTATTGACGATATATAGTTTGATATGTTATGTTGTTTGACTAATAATCTAATTCGTACATTTAGACGTAATTTCACCTAGCTAATGGTCAATGATCATGATTGACCAAACATTTATGCAAAATTCCATATGGTTAATGGTTTAGATTGATATATGGTAGAGTAACGCACCATCTATATATCAAGTAAGATAAAATTATCCCACACACATGCACATTGTCAGTTGAGACCATTGAGTATGTGTAATCATGTCTGAATGTTTGTTTTTGATTGACATCGCGCGACAATATAATATGTAGAGTAACTTCATGACAATATAATATATAGATATTATATTCCACAATGTTAGGCATAATGGTTGAGAAAACTGGATGCCTTGACAGTATGAAAGTGAGGAGTGATCAAGAAGCATTCAGCAATGGTTTGATCGAGATTGTTTATAAATTTGAACGCAGAATTGGGGTCCTTGTCTGAGACTATCAGTTAGGAAGAAAACATATTCTATGTTGAGTCTCTTATTATAGTAATGCAAGCATCTTATATAAAAAAAGGTGATGACACACTGCCCTTGCTTGAGTCAAAACCAATAAGGGTTCAAAGGTTACACAAGAACACAATTATGAAAGAATGAAAAGCCTTGGTTTTGACACGTAATTTTGTCATTTAAACGGTAAAGATATGATGAAATTAGCATAGATTTCGAGACCCCACATAAACTTTTGTGGTTTGTATTAGGGTTGTTGAGGTATAAATGGTTGAAAAGATGAGTGAAGTTGTTGTTCGATGAAGGCTCAATTGGCATTCACGTGTACTAGACGTAATGGAGGTTGTTCTTTTTCAGGAACCAATCTTGGTTGCTTCTCTGGTGCAGTCTCTATTTGTTAATTCAAGCACTTAACAAAACTTATTCTAACTGTCATTGTCAGTGTTAGAAAGAGGAGAGATCGAAACCCCACAAGCTCGGGTGGCCAATCTCAATTTGTTTGTTTGTTTTGAAAAAACAGATTTCATATTACCAGGAAGGAGATCAACCACAACTAATACAATTAGATGACGATCTCGAAACCCCACTAATAATATAGCTCTAGCCTCTAGCTAATGGTTGATAAAACCATTGATGCTCATAAGCTAGGTTTTCCATAGCACTAACCCTCTAGCCAATACATCACAGAAATTAATAGCTGAGTTTTGAGTCATCTTGCAGTCGAGGTCTTTTCTGCGTTCTTCCTTCGTTCATGGCATTAAAAAATCTAACGAATGGGGTTGGATGGAGTCTTTGTTGAATTCTTGAAGCATCAGTAATTCTAACTTGAGCAGTTTTCTTATTATTTCTTTTGGTCATAATATTAATTAAACGGACTGTCACTATATAAATTACATGATGTGTGTACTGGATATCTATTTGATAATCCTATTTTCTTCGATTAGAAACGAACTATATTACTCTATGTGCGCGAAAGGGAAAGGAAATGTTGATGGAAACTAAATTACATGATGTGTGTACTGGATATCTATTTGATAATCCTATTTTCTTCGATTAGAAACGAACTATATTACTCTATGTGAGCGAAAGGGAAAGGAAATGTCTAGACATCAATTATTTCAAGTAGGTCAATTCCTTTCCTTTCTGGATCTTTCGAAAAACCAAACGATCCATCGTCAATGATTCATGTCTTGCATGCGATTAAAACGACTATAAATTGCATGTAGAATATTAAAATGGTAGCGATTGATGCTTCTTATTATTTTCTGGTTTCTGCTTTGTGGTCCTGACTGTGGAGATGGAGTGGCAATGAAGAGAGAGACAGATGGGAAATGGCCATACGTGGCCTTAGAGAGAGAGAGAGAGAGAGAGAGGGCATAGAAAGTCCGAGTTTAGATGTATCGGGTAGAAACTTGAGAGAGCAAGCAATTCAGTTGTTTAGCTGACACTACAGCTATGATCTTTTCTAATGGACATTTGCTCCCTCTGGTCTGTTTAGGTGACATCACTAGACCTATATTAAATTATTTATTTAATCAACCCAGCTGCCTCGTTTCAAATTAGTTTCCTTTCTGATGTGAGATTTATAATGATATGTGATGGTCCACCCGACAAGGAACCTTAGTTGAATTCAACAAGCAATCTTTTTATTTTCTCTGTTAAAAAGAAAAAGTACATTTTTTTCATAGCTAGCTTTCGTGAAGATGGTGTTTCTGTTAATAGGGCTATTAATTTCTCTGTGTAATTAAATTCAGCTTCGAGAAACCCTTTTTGGAGTGAAACTTGTACCGACAGCAAAATGAGGTCAGAGAAGGGGGAAGAAAGACAAAGAAATTTTAATGGACTTGTCGTTTGACCTACGTACGTGGTCATGGTTATTCATAAATATAATGTCTACTGTGAGTTAGGTTTAACATAGCTCGATCGCTTCACTGATAAGAAACATGTTTAGTTTAATATTCTTTTGCCCTCGAGAAGCCTTTCAAATTAGTTATTGTGCCATCCTTAAATGCGTATGTATATATGTACATGCCTGGAATTTTTACATAGTATATGTACAAGCGATTGGGGGAAGGAGGTTTACACAAATATTTATTGGGTGTCTTGGGATTTCAAACCTCTGCGTAGATTGATGGAGATGGAAAAACTCAACCCTAAGAAACAAGAACCTTAATTAACTGACCCATGAAGTTAATCTGTTGAGGAAGATTCATAAGGAAAATATCATTTCCATCTGGTACAAGGCTCTCATCAAACACTCTGAATTAGATAGAACCGATCAATTTTGAAACAATTCCAGAAATTAAAAGTTGCGGGCATCGTATTTGTTTGTATCAAGGGTTTTAATCTATTGGTAATTAATGATATTTATACATATATACTTCTTAATTCGTATATGTAGAAACACCAATACGAAGACATGCCTTCCTCGTGAGGTTCATCGATTTTAATAACTTAGGTCTTCACCTGTACTGATACTGATCTTTCTCATGCATGTTCCTTTCCCTCTTGGGTGAAAATTGCAATGAAATCTCTGTTTTTCCTAACAGGACAAAGGATAGAGGACGAGGAAGGCATTAACAAATGCCATTGACGCATTCTCATCGAGGTTAACTAAAGAAGGATGTCTTTAGGGTTTCAAAGTGGTGGAATTTAGGGCGCTTGCCGCACCAACTTCTTGGCTAACAAACTCACTGGTCAAATGGGGTCACATCCATCCATGTCCCTTTCTCTGTGTAAGTATTTTGAACAAACAAAGATATTTTTTAATCTATTTCTTTCTAATTTTGCTTTACATGAAGATCACCTTATGATTAATTTCGATCGTCAAAATCCACTGTGATTCAAGAATCAACATATAAAGCTTTTTCTGATATATCTTGTCGTGGGTTCGGGAGAATATGATTTGTGCTTACCTACTTATGTTTTTTATGAAAAAAAGTTTAGGGGAAGGGGAGGCTATCCAGGGAAGTTTCTCTAGGGTTGCTAAAAATAATGCACATTAATATGTAAATAACTCGGTATTGTCTCATCTGAAACTCTTTAGAAAACAGTGTTTCCTCCAACCCCAGCAAAATTAATAAGAACATGGGGTGGCTGCATTTCTACTTTACTTTTGCATCACTTGCTCCGTAGGTTCCCCGTTTCTTTCAATAAAGATTAAACCTTTATTATTTTTTATCACCAAGGAAACCAAATACACGCTTTGCCCTCGTTTTGTGTCGAGCTGCAATTTCCATACAATACTAGAATAATTAACAGAAACTAGTTTTAAATTGTCAGACTCATTGTGATAACAAAAATACTAAGATATAATACAGATATAAATTTTTTCAGGATTAGAATTTATATATGATGGAGAAAGATAAAGTTAAATTAATGCTTTTGCTTTGTATATATATATAATCAGATGAAAAAAAAAGTCAGCCATTTCGATATTATTTAGTATGAACAGGTTTCTTTTATATAGATAAAGACGATAGATTGCATTTATAATTCAGACACTAAGTCAATATAAATATAGATAATCACACAATGTTATTACAAATATGGAAGCACAATAACTACAAAGAGTTAATCCACATACGGAGAACTCCACCGGCAACCTCAGGCGCACAAGTGTACCTCCACACATAGCCATAAAGGGTCAAATAAATTCCAACAAAAATGTCGCAGGCTTGTAAAAGTCAGGCATAGACCACAACGCACAGAACTACAACTGCAAACTAAAATCTTTAAACTCTCACAAGTAAAAAATTACAAGAAGAGACTACGAACACACAACAAACCCAAAAAGGGTTGATGCACTTGTTACAAACGAAAACTAAAACACACGAACTAAATCAAGAGCTGGAACTTGAGATCTACAAAATGACCCAGTAAAACCAACAAAGGCAGCCACGTTGTCCCCAAGAAAATCAAAAGCATGAACTCTATATTTGCAACAAACCAAAAAAAAAAAAAAAAGAGAGAAGAGAGGGAAAGTGAGGGGATGGGTGGGTAAGAAGGGACGGGAGGGGAGGTGGGGTGGGAAGGAGATGACATAACAAGAGAGGGAAAAGTTTGGGAGGGGAGGAGGATTTGCGTATCAAAGCAGAGAGGAGGGGAGGAAGAGAGGAGATGGGAGGAGAAGGAACAGTCACCTCCTCCCCTCTTAAGGTATGTGCTGCTAGAGAGGTTTTTTTTTTAGGAAATATTTTTGCTCACCACTTTAACCCAAGTTGTATGCTCACCACTCTACTTAATACTTGACACATGTACATAGGCTTAACCATGATTAATTTTTTACTTTGATTTATGTAATCATGATTATGCTTATGAACACTGTTAAGTGTTAAGAATGATGGACCTTGGGTTAAAGTGGTGAGCAAAAATGTTTTTTTTTTTATATAAGAGGGCGCTAGGGTTTCCAATATGGATAGTTTAAAATAACAGTTAAAAATGGTGTGATGAAAAAATAAAATATGTATTAATAAAATTATATATATGAACCTTAACTTGTATCTATTTTAGGCATATTAATATCTCAAAATTAGGAAATAAACATTCATAATTAAGTTTCTTATCCGGTTTTAGAATTTTCTTTTTGTTACCACATGCATATGGCTCATTAGTTGGTCCAAAACTTTATGTCAGTGGGTCATACCATGAATTATGGTAGACAAGTACTTAGGCTATGTTTGACAAAGTTTTTCAAATGAGTATAAGCATTTTCAAAGCACTTGAGTATTTAATAAAGAATTTGTTATTATGCTTCTAATATAAGTATTTATGAGCAGAAGTGCTTCATAAATAAGTATTCCTAAATAGATTGAGTGAAACAAAATTATATTGTATATATGCATACCATGCATACATTTTAAAAAACACAGTTCAAACTTCTTGTATTAGCTTTTTCACATCAATAATATTCTATCGCTTATCATAAATTAAAAAAATAAAAAATTTCCCCTGACCTTATCCATCTCGAAAATGAAAATGAAAATGAAAATGCATTTAATTAAACCGATTGAATTCTTTTATCATAGCATAAGTTGACATATATCCCATCTATATTTTTCTTTTATTTCTTGTTATCTTCCTTCTTAACATTTTCAATTCAGTTTCATTCTTTTACATTATATCCTAACCTATCCCAATAATGAAGAATAATTCACCTAATAATGGTTCTGTAGAACTTCTTTTTTAATCTATTCGCACAACTTGGCTGGAGCTTGCAAGCTATCCATTGTCCGAGAAATAAAGTAAGATAAAAATGAATTAAAGACACCAAAAAACTTCGTAGCTAATCTGGGCCAACATGATCTAAGTGGGACTAAAGTAGTACTTAAACCCCTTTTTATAATTAGCTTTAGGTTTTTCTAGTTTTCCGGTGAGAAAGTGAGAAAGTGAGAAAGTGAGACAGTGAGAGACAGAGAGAGACAGAGAGAGAGAAAGGTGGTGAAGGCAAATGGAGAGGAGAGTGGTTATATATTTGAGTTGAGCTCATGCGTAAGCTGGCCAAATATTTCAGAAATGAGAGGGCCCCCATTAATTTAATTCCTTCATTTTTATACGTGAGTTTATAATTATTATGACAAGTTCCATTCCATGCAATGCAATCAATGACGAAATAAGGGCCTTCTTCTTCGTTGCGTGCATGGAATGAGTTCCTCCAACCACCGATGACGTGCCACCTGTTCCCTGTTGCTGACTTCTAGCTACTCAGCTTACTTATAATAATACATTAATTTCATAAATTTGCTCACCCCTTTCTTTTCTTTTCTTTTCCTTTTCTTTTCCTTTTCTTTTCTCCATTTCCAACACTTAGATCGGGTTCCTGATTTGATTGTTAAGAAGCAAAAATGGAAGAAATTGGATAGTCATATTAGGCTGACCAAATGCAAGAGAAAAAATTGTGTGGGGGAATTTGACAGGCTAAGTCGCATATACCGCCTAATTAAATTAAAACACGTGTTATATCTTTTAATAAGACGACATTTGCTATATATATGTGGCAAGAAAATAGTTTTTCTCCACATCTAGACATCAAACTGTGGATATTATTAGTGAAAGTAGTCGGAATTTAGTGATAGATGACTTGCTTCTTTTCGTATTTTTATGTTTCCGTATAGATTAAATACAAATATATAAAGTTGTTTTTTTGCTTGATGGGGTATGATATATATATATATATATGTCTTTTTTCCTTTTTCAAAATATAATTCAAGGAAGGGGAGAGCCGCCGCACTATACTTGGATCAAAATATATTCCAAGATGAATGGTGCTCAAGCTATAACCTGCTCATGTGACATTTTCCAATTTGTCGTAGCCCAAGACTATATCAAAGCAAGCTTTGGTGAATCAAGCACACTATGAATTATAAAATCCTCATCATTGACGAGTAAGGGTTTTTTTTTTATGGCAAATCCATCACCACTGTTTTAGTCGCCATATGTCTGCAGTGGGGCCGTATACCCCCCACGAAAAAATGAAAATAAATAATAAATAAATAAACCATGGTCCACTTATGATTAATCAAGACAATATCAAGACAGATTGTCAAGACCAAAATAATCTCGAGTGAGCCATGAAGCACAGAGAAGGGTAAATTTGTCATTTCAAGGAGAAAAAGGGTGTAGTTGTTTTGCTAGCAAATAGGAGACTAGCACGTCAGTCAGCCTCGATGTGATTGGAGGCGACAAGAAGATGGTGTATATAAATAGAGTGGTGTGTTATCTACGGTTGGATTGGAGGGAGGCAACCAAATCTTCTTAGGTAAAGAAAATGGGAAGGTCTCCTTGTTGTGATGAGAGTGGCCTCAAGAAAGGTCCCTGGACCCCTGAAGAAGATCAAAAGCTCATGAAATACATTCAGAAAAATGGCCATGGAAGCTGGAGAGCCCTTCCAAAACTTGCAGGTACTGATCCTCCTCATGTACACAACATAAAACTCTCTCTCTCTCTCTCTCTCTCTCTCTCTCTCTCTCTCAACTGCTTGGTGTTTTTTTTTCTTGAAATAATTTCAGGCTTAAACAGATGCGGCAAGAGTTGCAGGTTACGATGGACAAACTACCTTAGGCCAGATATAAAGAGAGGGAAGTTTTCTCAAGAAGAAGAACAAACAATTCTGAACCTCCATTCCATCCTCGGCAACAAGTAGGCTTCATATTTTTTTTTCTTCACAAGCTTAATTATTTTATATATTGTGGCATATATATTATTACTCAATAAGATCCTCTATAACATTGTATATGTTGAGACAGTATATATTGTTGGTCAATCAAGATCATTATTAGGTAGACTATTGTTCTAATATATGGTATCTAGCAAGAAAATATATCCATTTTTTTAATTAAAAAAAATACATGTGGCTTGATGTATAAACTTACCCTTCTTTGTTTTGGTTCTTGACAAGATGGTCAGCAATTGCAAGTCACCTACCCGGTCGGACGGATAATGAAATAAAAAATTTCTGGAACACCCATTTGAAGAAGAAGCTGATTCAGATGGGTTTTGATCCGATGACTCACCGGCCTCGGACCGATATCTTCTCTAGCTTGCCTCATCTTCTAGCTCTTGTCAATTTGAAAGAGCTCCTGGACCATGGAGGCCACCCATCTTGGGATGAACAAGCTGTGAGACTACAAGCAGAAGCAGCTCAAATGGCTAGGCTCCAATACCTACAATGTCTCCTCCAACCTCCTACTGCTAATAATTCCTTTGGAGCTGGTAGCCCAAGCAACCTAAATGATATCACTGACATGGAGACAATCAATCTTTTGAGCTCTCTCTGTTCATATCAGTTGGATCAAAACCCACCACAATATCCTGGAGCTAATTTCCAACCAGTCCAAGATCATAATTCCATCCCTTTCTCTCATTTGCCTGACTTGCAAACCTATCAAACACCTTCACTGAACAACAAGGACATGGTTAACCAAGCTGAAGATCAACTTGCTGTAGTTTTGAGCCAAGGGCAAAACTCTCCCAACAATCCGTGGAACATTCCTTCTTCTTCAAACACCACTCCATCTCCTACTTCCATGGCTCCTCCGGTGGCAGAGACTTCGATAAACAACACCATGGGAGATGCTTGCAGCACTTCAAGCTTTGGAGGAGTGGCTAATTCGGCTTGGTCTGAGCTTCTTCTTGAGGACTCTTTTTTCAATGAGATTGCTTAATTACTTTGGTAGATATGTGTGCTAAAGACTTCTAATTGCATGATCACTTACTATTTATGTGTACTTTCTGAGAATATATAATTATATATATATGTATACTCTTCGTTAATTATATGTATAATTAATTGTTCTTAGGTTTCATGCAAGAGGAATCTGTTTTACTAGCTGATTAATTAATATTTAATTACATGTTTTGCCAATTGGAGAAAAGAAACCGAACCAAACCAACATTCCTGCAGATTAATTAATATTATTATTACTATTATCATCATCATCATCATCATCGTCTTTATTATCACCTAATGCTTTGAAATCTCGTTACATGCATGATGCATATGCATGGCATATAATAATTTACAGGATACGCAGGCCCATATTAATTGATACGGTAAAGCATTTTATATAGGAACTTGATAAATATTTCAATTTGCTCCTTTGTGTTTATAATTTGAACAATATTAATCTGTATTTGATATCAACCTCTATCCATACCCTTTGTTTGTTTTTTTTTTGGGGGGGGCGCCAAAGTTAAAAAGGGTATCATAGAGAAAACTCACACACACGGGTATCATGAGAGCTTGAACCCAGAACCAGTTGGGTACACCAATTGTACTGCCACCAATTGAAGTCTTGTGAGTTTATTATAGTGTGACCCTACATATTTCAAAAAGATTCATTCTATTTAGAAACAACAAAACGGGAGCCAAAGTTAAAAAGGGTATCATGGAGAAAACTCACACACACGGGTATCATGGGAGCTTGAACCCAGAACCAGTTGGGTACACCAATTGTACTGCCACCGGTTGAAGTATTGTGAGTTTATTATAGTGTGACCCTACATATTTCAAAAAGATTCATTCTATTTAGAACCAACAAAACTTCTAATTTTATCCGGTAAAAGAAAAACAAAACACAACCACAAACAGTACCCATCCATGGTGTTGTGCAAACTGTCAGAAATACATTGTGTGGGTGCTCAAACGTGGGGCACTGCTCGGGTGGCATGTCCAACAAAATTAAACATGTTTATTTCTTTTCAAGATTACGAGAGGGCTTTTTAATTGTCCTTTTTTTTTTCCTTCATATTCATGCCCTTTTTTTTTGTAAAGGAAATGAGAGGCATTTCTTTTTGTTTGGTTTGGACTATGACGATATTAGCTATTGTTGAACCGGTGGCTAATGCTAATAAAAACCACAGTTTTACGGTGATCAAATCATATCGTCAAGGATAAGACACATATCATCACATTATAGTGGTAGTGTTGCCATTGTGTTTTTCCACTGCATTTTAAAAGACAAATGTCAGAAATGTGAAATTAAATACTTACAAACTATAGGAATGTGAGTTGTACTTTTCAAATGATTAATTAGGACCTAAAGTCTAACTTTATGTCACCCCAACCCGATATTGGACGTAAGTTCCATTTTTAACGAGTCTTGTCTCACATCCCATCGGTTAGAAAAAGGAAAAAAAATAGCCAAACATTCCATGATTTCTCTCCCATGAATAGAAGATTACAAGGAAAAGGATGAGGACCGTGCAGAGAAACATACATTTCATAGCTTAATTCCATGCATTTGAAATGCAATTTGTTAACTTGTCCGAATACGTTAAGATAAAGCTACAGAGATTGACCTGGAATTTCGAACTGAGCAGCCGCCAACCACTCTTATATAAGGCTGGGAATCTGATCTAAGTTTCCTTCTTGTTTTCAACACAGAAGTTCTTTTTTAGGCAATTTCTCTTTTCATAGAGAGAGGGAGAGAAGAGAAAGTTTGACCAAGATGTTAAGTCAAGGGAGTGACGACAATACAGGGAATCTCAATGATAAGAGAGGGACCCGAGTGGTTAGGACTTCCGGGGCACAAAAGAGTTTTCAGAATTATGATATTGGACAGACTGCTACCATAACTCCAAGGTTTCATTGGCTCACATACCCAGGACTCTATATATGTTTTGTCTTTTTCATAGGGATGGTGATTGGAGCTAGCTAAACCCTACTTATAAAAATTGATGAGTTAGATACTGGTCATCGGATTTTATTTATAAAATTTAATTTTTATTTATAGAAAAATAAAGCGATGGACTGCAATTAGTTTGAAGAGGTAAAACCGAATTTATTATTTTTCTTTTGATAGGGATGGTGATTGGAGCAAGCTAAAACCTTAGAGAATGCTAGTGTTAACAAGTTGTCACCCTTTCAAATTCCAATAGATTTAGGGGTGTGGAGACTTTTAAAATGGCACGATAACACAACTCAAAGGTAATAGTAGTGGCGGACTCGGGCTTGATGGGATGGGGGCTAAATTTCTGAAGCCAAAATTTGACATTTTGTAGGGGCCGAGACTATCAATCAATAATATTCGATCAAATTGGTGTTATCAAGGGTCCGTTTCATATTAATTTACACCAAGTTAGTGGGTTAAGGTTGACCAGTATTTGATCCAGACTCGTACACAGTAGCACATTACTCAAGATTCAAGATGCCAAGTTTCATTTTGAAAGAGTGAAACATATGGTTTTCAGTTCACAATATATTTGGATCAATTGGAACAAACGCGATTAACTTGCACACAATTTCGAGGACAGTCTTCTAACAATTCGCCCGACATAGATTGAAATGTTTGCATTGATTACTTCTAGGAATTTTGTTAAGAACTCACCCTTAAAGTTAAGCTTGAAGTTGAATTCAATGAAAAGCTTAATATTATATATATATATATAGGTGTATACAGAAATTCTCCTATATATGCGGAAGTTCGGATGTTGTTACTGCATGCCATGTATTTTCTACTACCTTCTTTGCTTTCCTCCTCGTTTACAATGACGTCTGCACTATAATAACGTTTGGATGTCGGCGTAGGAAAAGAACTGTATATGTATATATGTATATATATATATATGTATATTTGCATAGAAAAGTCTCGAATGAATGCGCCAACATAAACAAATATGCGTATGGATCAAGTTAAGGTATTGCCTAAATAAAGGTTTCGCTTGAAAAAGTTGCATATGTAACTCCTTGTATCACCTAAAGCATATGACCATGGTCTTGGCGGCTATATAGGTTCCATCCGTATACATAAAGCTAGCCTCTCCCATCAGAGTTAGGTTTGAAAAGATTTTGTACTCGAATTAAATCTCATTAATTAATGCAAAATCCTGTATCTCTTTTCCTAAGTGAATACGTACGAGGAGTACACTTGGTAGATTATATATGACTCACCCTAGCTAGCCTTCTAGCTTCTGCCTTAGCCTTCAAGATATCTATATATTAATGTCAACATAATAACAACAGCAGTTAACGGTAATTATCATGGTAATCTTTTTAGGTGAGAATCATTAGAATTAATTAAATATATCCGTACAATGATCATTTTCTCATGAAAAAGAAGGCAATGTAGAACTATAGATTTCCTAGCTTTATTTTTTTTGGTCAAAATTATCGATTTCATTAATGGTGAAAAAAAAAACCCGCTTACATCACCGGCTAAAGTATTGGGCGCATTTGAGACAGGTTTTTTTGTAAGAAGTCCTCTGCTTATAAGTGCTTTTTTAGAAACTCTTTTATTAGAAGCACGCGGAATTTTTAATACTTTTTTTTTTTGGATCGAATTTTTAATACCATTTAAGAAACAGTAAGAAACATGCCACAATGAAATTGAGCAAACATAAACATCAAGGTTACTTTTCTAACAAGGATTTGACTGTAATGTTAACAGTTAACTGATCTATTAACATCACTAATTAAATTGAGCTAATTTCTCCACCACTACAAGAATAATGGATGCCGTGTCGGCACAATCAACATCATATGGTCTAGTTGATCTGTTAGCTAAATTTTGAGCTGTTGTGGAAAAAAAAGGGTGGAAGCATTAAAGTCAACATTGTTTATGCTTGTCAAAAGCAACATCTCTAAAATGCTAATTAATTAATTAATTAATTAAATATAATATATGTCCGTAGGTTATACTTTAAAAACATGAAGCCAAAAAACTTACCACCTAATTCTTTTACTTGGATGATGACTAATTCATGTTTTCTTTTTCTTTGACACCAATCTTTTGTTTATCATTGCCTTTTTACAGCTCATATTCAAAATGTTTAAGGAGACATAATCCAAGTGTATATATATTAGTCTTCATTTTATTGGAGGAAATTATGAGTTCAAAGGACTTCTGATTCGATTTTATTTTGTACTTCGTAAGAAGGGCCCAATTCAGGCCTAAAGAAGCACAAGGCTTTGAAATAGAAAAATTATACCCAAGTAACGCGTAGGGTAGGCTTAGGGACAGATTTTTATTTATTTATTCTTTTATATAAGTGATATTTAGGGAGAGATGTTTCGATTTTTGAACATAGGATCTCGGATGTAGGATAACTACTCTTAATCACTTGAGTTACAAGCTCATTACGACTTAGAGACAAATATTAAGTAAGTAGTTCAATAGACAATGTGTATATTTATTTTACCCAATTAGGCCCAATTAAGATAGTAATTATGAGAAATGAATCGTTAGCATAACACTACCACACAAAGTGCTTTCTATTAGGCCCAATTAAGATTAGTCAAACTGCTATACAGAATGCACCAAAATGGAATAATAAAAAGAAGATTGTCCATTCTAAAAGAAAGCCCAAAAGTAAGCCCGAAGCCAATTTCTTGACTGAAGCGATATCAGAACAGAAACCTTCGCTCTGAAGCTCGACGACGCTATCTAATGGATCCCTCGCCCTCTGGCGTTTGTCATCTTCTTCTTCACCCTCACTGAATCTCAAATC